ATAAATGAATGCATGTTTATACTCCTACCACAGGCATTGTGTTGGCTACACTTCGTTATTAAAACAATTCTTTACTCCAATGGTTAATATCAATTTTAAAAAGATAACCAATACATATATGCTACCTGTCCTCTAGGAGGGAATTAGTATGAAATTTTGTTTTTATTTAATAAGTTAGCAAAAGTGAGGCACAGGATCAACTACAGTGTTCTAGGAAGCATAAGATCAACATACACATTATGGTATAAGTCTCGTAACTCTATGATTTCTTATTCAAATGGGCAAACTATACTACCAATTTCTCTCTAGAACTGTGATAAACTTATTCTTTTTCCTCCCACAGGAATGATTTATGATAAGCATAAAACATTTCATTAACTGTAACATAGGAAGGTAAAATCAAATGTTATAATTAATTATGAAATCATCAAATATACAACTTACTGGGATTAAAGAGCAAAGATAACAAGCACCTCAGACTTACATAATACTCTATCATTTTCAAAGCACTTTCATGTACATTATCTTAATTACATGCGTTTCCAACCCCTCCAAATCCATATTTCTGGAAGGGCTCAATTGGTCATGCCTTTGTTTTCTGCAAACACTCCAGAGTGCTCTATTCTAGAATCACACAACATCCATAGTTTAATGAACATTAAATTTTTAAACTTCCTTCCTTAGCCCAAAGTAAAAGAGGTAAAATTAAAATTGAGATTACTTAGCAATCTCTTGAGGGCATCAGAGTGTCATTGATGGGGGAACAAGAAAGTTTTCAAACAAAAAAGAAATTTGAACAATTACTTCATTTGCATTTTCATCTTAGCACCTTTGTGACTGCCTGCTTTGTTCAGGTCAAAATCACTTCTTCAAGGAAAAAGTGTAAATACTGGAAAAAATACACTTTATTTCTACTTGTATCTTGTTTGTAGCTTCACAACTGGGGGTGATTTGTAGTCTTGGCTCTACTATACCCCATCTAAGTGTCTATTTTCTTATTAGCAAAATGAGGGAGTTGAATAAAACTATCTCTCTGATCCCTGATTGAATCTGAGTTTTCTAATTCTTATTTTGCCAGTACTTCCCTCTTAGAGCATCTTGTTCATTGGTCTTTTCTTGGTCTCACTATTCAGGTTGGAATTTTGTGACATGAAAAGTATTAGTCATATTGACTATAAACTCCTAAATCTCAGCACACAGGATGTGATTACATTATTAATGCTAATAATGACCATGACTGCCATTTTTAATGCTTACCAAGTGCCATGAGATTTATGTACATTATCTCAACAGTATGTATTATTATTAATCCAATTTTTCATATTAGAAAAGCTAAAGCTCAGCATTTAAGTAAATTACCCAAAATGCAAACTAAAGCCTTACTATTAATAAAACATCCTATTTTCAGCATGTCAGGAGCCATTTTTATACTCCAGTTCACAGGGCAGAACTGACAAGGTAGTGGGAGGCACAGATGAGTTCATCTGTGACATGAATGCATTTTTCAAAATCTGCAGTTAAATTCACTATGAACTCACATCCTTCTGCAAAAGAAAAAACCCTCATAAAAATAAGTGTGTAATTCTCTTGCCACTTTCATGGTAAAATGAAAACCTGCACAAGTAAATTCCAACAGTATCCCTGAAACCAGCAATATAGAACTTCAGTATTAAGAATGGAACCTTAAGAGTTCCAGAAACTTGCAACAAAAGAATTACTGTTGAAAATTTAGACATTCATTTTAATACTCTAGAAGGAATAAATAGAAAAATGGAAAGTAATTATGAGTGTAACTTCCCTTGATGCTCATAAGTATTTTGTGAGTCAAGTGGAAAACATTGCAAAAAAAATTATGTAAATTTTATATACATTACATGAACAGCAGGGTGCAATGGATTTAAATTTGAATTTCTTCTTTTTTAAAAATAATGTTGCTTAAAAATAGATTTTATTGCCCTTGTAGATGATGCCACATCTCCAAAGCAAAATAGAATACAGTATAGTAAATTATACAAAAACTGCCAAGAGTACAGATAATTCATATTTTAACTATCCATTCCAGTGGACTCTTTAGTGTACTTGCCCCATAAATCATGAGGCTTTCTAGATTGTCTTGTGGGAACAAACACAGTTCCTGTCCTGGACGATCAAACTTGGCTTTTGCCGTATCTAGTTCTTCTGGGTCACCCTAAATCTTGTTCTTGGTTAGTTTCCTTGAATGTGTGCACTTATCATTATTCAGCTGTTTTCTCAAGGAGGATCATTTGCAGAATTAAGATATTAGAATAAATATTTCTGTTAGGCAGAAAAATAGATAAGATATGAGTGGGGTGGAGGGAGAATAAGGTCAGTAAAGCCCTCTAGAAGGGACCCGAAGAGTTAACAAGATAAAACTAGAGAGCCGGAAAAGACTCACAACAGAGTTAATGAGTTAGTCAGTTGAAGTTCTGAAGGAAAGGAGTACTTGGAAATGTCCAGATATTCCCCAGATAAAGAAAAGTATCTGAGCACAGCCCATGTCGTCCTTGTGTCAATTAGATCATGCCATTGTAAGATTTACTTTAGCCTGCCAGAAGGCCCAGCTTATTCTTTAACTTAACCTATATGCTGTTTTTTTTCCCCCTCCTCTAGCCCCTAATCAAGTAACTTGCAACCTGGAGAGGAGACAAGCATCATGATTAATTCTCAAAAAAAAAAAAAACCCCAGATATAAACAGTATAGTAAGAACAGGAGGGATTCCATCTTAAGGCTAAGATTCCATTTTAAAAATCAAAGAGTTATGAAGTAAAATTCCTAAAACGTTCTTCAGTAAGCAGACAATAACTCACCCCACCGTAAACTAAGGCAAACAGTCCTAACTGATATATATCCCCAGAGAGAAGTCGCCATCCCGGGGAGGAACTGGATCAATAAATTTCTTGTGTTAAGTTTATTATGCAGAATTAGCTGGAAGACTGATAAGAGAGGAGAAGAGACCTGGTATCTCTCACCAGACATAAGCATCTTGAGACACCTGACAAGCCTACACCCCATAACCCTTTGTCACATTCCTAAAAAATCCTTAACAGCCTATAAACCCCAGACCCTAAACCCTTAAGTGTGCCTCCTCTCCAAGGTTGCCCACACTCACCTTTCTTTGACTGTCACTCTCTCTGACCTACTTCAGGTAAGTAGGGAGGAGCTGTTGAGAGCTCTGGTTTGGGCTTGTTTCCTCTCTGCTTTATTTAAGTCAACCTGCCTTTGTCTATCTTGACTCTAGCCCCCTCCTGCCTTGGAGTGTAATCAAATAAAGCTGCCTTTATCTACCCTGCCTGCTCCTCTCTTGAAATGCATTTAAATAAAAACTTCTATTGTGCTTCACTACTTTGTCTCTGCCCTTCAATTCTTTGTTGCAGCAGAGATAAGAACCAAGGAAAATAAACTCAATGCCCTACCAGACCCTCGCCAACATTTCTACAACAATATTCCTTTTGGATGGACGCTTTATTTCACAGATTGTAACTGTCAGCTTATGGATGAAATATGTCCAGAAGTGGTATGTTGTTTGACATGCCTCATGCTGGCCTTTATACTCTTTTATTTAGTTTTGCTTATCAATTAAATTCAGATTCCCAGACTTTCTGTTTTAGTTAAGAAGGAGCAACAGGGACTGGAGAGATCCTCCCACATGAAAAATCAAAAGTGCACCAAATACATGAAGCAATATTTTCAGTATACTGGTGAGTTATCAAGCTGTCAACAAAGGACAGTGATCCTAAGGAGAGAAAAAACTAACAAGGAGAGCCTTACGATTCCTTCAGCTCACCACCTGGAGTGAGTTGCCAGGCCACTCACTGTACAAGAAGGAACCCAGGTGGAATTCACTGGACTCTTTAAGATGAAAAGCAGATCTGAAAATCTGGGAAGATGGAGGTATCTGCATGACTGCACTATAATGGAAGCTGTCTCTTTTTCAAGAGCCATTTGCTCTCAAGTTTGCCACAGTCCCCATCCCTCCCCTTTGTAGCCCTTGTCCTGCTTTATTCACTTACCTAACTGCCTTAGGAATTTGTACTTACATGACTATCAATTGATTTCTTATCTTCTGTTAGCATAGGAATATTAAAATTGTTTCTTCCATCAAATCATTCTATAGTACCTTCTGTTACTTGGTCACAATTGATTTTCCAAACCTATTTCTCAACACTCCCTTCATCTGCCCATATATGCAAGAAGCTCTATATTTCTTACACACTATTGCCAAGATTCCCAAACAAGCTGTATGTGTTGGGTTTGCTTCTTAGCGTGTTAATGTGATCCATGTTTAAACCAGTAGCAAAGAGAGACAGAAAGAAAAAACAAGGACTCTAAAAAGAGAGAGAGACAGAAAGAAAAGTCTTTAAACTCAGAGTTAGGGATTTTCATTTAGTATTTCTACCAAATACTAATTGGATGTCATCTTATCTCTCACCAAGGAGTGATAGAAAGAAAAGAACCTTGATAGAAAAATGATTTCTTGCTATTTGGTGCAAGACAGAAGAGGTTTAAAAATAAGTGACCTCACAGAAAATGAGAGGTTGCAAAACTTACCAACAACTATGTCACCAGTATAAGCCAGTGCAGGTGTTATTGTCCAAGTGGATCCAAAGCCTTTCTATTCTTTTCAGTCACAAAATCTTCCAATGTCAAATATTGCGGAATCAGGCCTGTGAATTCCTAGCTATGTTGGGTCAACCCAAGCCATACATCATGTTGTAATCTTTTTCCTCCTGAAAAGTCATCCTAGCTGTGCCACCTTTTTTGTTGGTTGGTTTGTTTGAAATATTCTTTTTATTCACTTGCTTCCAAAGATGAAGAATAAATATTACAAGAGTATTAAGTTCGTAAGTTCCACTCTTTATAATTTCTGCACAGATACTATTAAAATATGAGATAATTATTGCCTATATATTTTGCATGCCTGTCTTAAAGCTATTGCAAATATTTTAGTATTTGTAATGGTTTCACATTACATACTTACAAATAAAACTTCTCATCCCACACTGGATTCAGGTTTCCAAAAATGGTTTTAGTTCTTCTTTTGTTCTTTCCAACTTGAACTGTGACATATGGGTCACTTGACCCTGTTTTGTCTTTTGCCTGTAAGCCTTGTGCAGAAACCACTAAAATAAACCAAAGTAAACATTTTCATATAAAGATTTCCTCAGAAACAAAAGATGATAGTGAAAGAAACATATTCTATCACTTTGTCCCCTGGATTTGCACTTACATTCCCATTGCTTTCATCCCCATGAGTAACAGATCTTTAAAAAAATGTCTAATAAAATAATGAATACATTGAACATGAAAACTTTGCTCTAATATTTGCTTTTGCTCATAATGAACAGTAGCTATAAGTATGCACATGCATATATATATTAGCTCTATACTCATATGCACCTTACTGTATGAGTGTATGGAGAAATGAGGATACAAGCACAGTATGTGAAAACTTACCCAACATAATTCAAAGGTCTGTGATTTAAAACTTATTTATTTATTTATGAATGAGCTGTCAGTACTGATCAGTTCGAACTAGTGAAAGAAGCATCTTTAGTTTATTTTATAAGTACAAATTTGAGTAAATGAGGAGGCTTGATGATACACATGTACTTGATATTAATGTTACAAACAACTACACAAGTTCAGGCTACTAGACATCACTATGCTCAAATTGCCTTGACTCAAGGGTAAATTGGATGAGGGATACTGATTGATCCATGAGTAAGTAAAATGATACTTGTTTTTTCATTAAAAACTGACTGAAGAGATTATTGGCTTCTCTTGTACTCTATCAGTGGCAGGCAGCAACAAAGCTAATCTCTTGTGAATTGCAGGATATTGATGAGCATCGTCTGAAAGAGAACCTTCTTTTTCTGGAAGAGCTTTTGATTAGAACAGGACACAGACTGAAATTATTCCATTTATCTGTTATATAATTTAGAAACTTAAAGTACTAACTGGACCTCTCATCAATGTTGATGAGATTAGAAATTCCTATTTATTTTACCTACAATTATTATTAGTGGTGATTTACAAGACATATAAAAAGCTCAATGTGTAAAGAAGACAATTTTTACCTGTAATGGTTATTTTTGCCGACCACTTAGATGTCCCATCCAGTACACTTTGTTTGGCTGCCTTGGTGTATTGCACAAAATCTTCTTTCGAAATATGAAACATTTCTTGAATTACTTCAAACACCTCAGGCCTGTTTTTCTCCCTAATCTTCATTCTTTCTTTCATAGCTGTGATAATGGTCTGAGTCTTGTCTTCAGCGCCGTGCTTAGAACTCTTTTCTGCTGCTCCTATAATGGAAAAATCAATGGTGATGTAAATGTACATGAAGTTATTTCTTGATGGCTCAGGAGGGGGAGAAAAAGGAGGAGGAATCTGAAGATAAGTGAAGGCTTTCATTGTGAGGAAGCAGGGTGATTTTCAGAAAATATCAGTATAAGCACTAGGCAGATTCAGAACAACCTGCCCTTGTGTTATTGGCAAGTAAATGAACCTCCAAGATCCCCAGATTTTTCAGTTGTAATACCGGGCTAAATCAAGGGTTGTGCAAAGATTTGAATTTTCAAAAGCAAATGTCAAAAGCAGCAAAAAAAATGCACACAATCAAATGTTATGTACCACACATATTTACTTTACTCAATGGATAACCAAAACAAAAGTGAGAAACAGACTGGAATTATGTGGCCAACGTCATTCGAAAATCAGAATTTCAAATACTTGTGTTCATCCGAAGTGTCTAATTATTTCATTTATGGAATTTATAATTACTGCTTAAATTTTTCTTGTCAAATAAATACTGCTACTATTTGTTATATATTGAAATAGAGGGTAAGATTTTACTTGTAATGAAAGTGATACTGTTGTTTAAAAGGGTTTGGAAGCCACTGGGCTCAATGACCTCTAAAGTACGTGATGGAGCAGAAACAACTGAACTCTTATTCTATGATATGGTCATAGTTTGAACAGGCTGACGTCTCACTTTCTACTCAAAACCCTTTTCAGTTTCTAGGACATTGCTCTTTATGACTGGTCTCAACTTTCTGAGCCTTTTTATTTTTTGACACAAATCTTGCTGACAGTGAAGGATTTCCAACAGTCGATTTTTGGGTCCCTCATTTTCTCCAGCTACCGGCCACTCCAGCTACAGTCTCAATGTTCCCTGTGGCCTGTAGGTTGCTTAATATTATACAAGGAAATCGTTAACCATGATTCCAGGTCTTATGGTTGCTTAGTGAGTTTGAAGAAAGCAAAAGCTCACATACAAATGTCTGTAGAGACTATCATGCTGAAACCAAGTATTTTTTTGCCACAGAAGCAAAATATGAGATGTTATGAAAAGAATCAAAAAGCTAATGTTCTTAGTTAATAATTACTCCAATTTTCATCTACATGACCAAGTATTGACCAGCTTGTATAGTGGTTTTTTGAAACATATTTCTGCAATAAACATCTTAATATCTCATAAAGTGTTCAGAGACTAAGTGGGATAATTTATCTGCACAATTCCTACCATGAAGGATAGCCTCAGAAATATTCTTTGAATCTAATTCTATGAATGTTAAGTCCAATTTAAGTATGGAAGTAAAGAGAAAATAGAAAAGGTTGACTATTAATTTCCTTAGTATAAAGTCATACAAATTTGACAGCAGTAATAGAGTGAAAATTTTCATTTATTTTAAAGTATAACATTTGTTCCCTAAAGTGGAAAAAATACATTCTTAATATCAAGGTGTAATTAGAGGAAGCTAAAAGAGTTTAATAGTCTAATGACAGAAATGGCAAGTTCTCTTTTTTTTCTTAAACCTTTGAGGACTTAAACCACATTTAAAAAGCAAATACTAAAAATTAATGTGTTCTATTTAAGGTAATTTGAAAGGACATCCTAATGCCCTAGTCATCTGTTACAACAGGCCCTAACACAGCTAAACATTTGTAAATTGTGCACCCTTAAGCAATTATGCATGTTTGTAATTTATCAATAATGGCTTAACTCCACAGTCGGTAATTCTTACATGGCAAAATTAGTTTAGGCCATACTAAACAGTTGTAACTACCCAACAGGCATATTTTGTTTCAAGTACTGGAATATTCTTTAAATAGAAAGCACAGTGGTGGCTTGAAAGATTCAAAGTGTCCCAAAAGTTGAGTTGTGACAGCCATTTAAGTATGTTCAAAGTGTAAGAAGTGCCCTAAAAATGTGGCTGTCCCCCAAATTCAGAATTATTATTGTTGTGACTGTCAGTGCCCCAAAAGCTCTAGGACAAAGTGTCAAAGTCATGGAGAGTTAAATATATTTTGCATTTTACTAAGTTCAGGAAAAGTTCGCTGTCCACCTCTCACATAATAATGCGCATTCAAGCAATAACTACCAAATTCAAAGAGAACATCAAGAGATTTTTTCATCCAAATGAATCAAATCTCTGAGTTAATTACTGCCTCTTGAATTCTTTAAAAAATTAATTAGAAAGCTTGACAATTAACTTTGAAACCCTTCACCAATGCTCTTGATACTAGAGTAGAATATCTACTCTAATACGTACAGCCAACAGAGAGACCAATAAGCTGTGAAATCACCAGTCTGGGGAAAGCAGGTTAACAGAGGCTATGTTTAAGCATCTTACCCATTATTTCTATAAAATTTTTTGTTCTGAGAAAAATGATTCAACTTTGATTACTTAGTTCAGAGATACGGAGCCAAATTCATAAATAATTTTTGTCACTGATCTACAAGTACTTTCCATTGCCCCACTGTTTACTGAACCCACATATTTAATTGTATTTTCTCATGAAACTGTTTTTTAAATAGTTGCAATTTGTCATGAATTTCCAATCCTTATATTATTTTCTGTTAGGCTTATTCTATTTATCTCAAAGTCATCAGAGATAAACTTAAATTTGCATTTATATGAGTCTTCCTTCAAAGTGCACGATAGAAGGTCTAGTAGCTTCGTTGAAATACAGTAATATGTCAACTAGAAATCAACAATAAACGGGATCAGAAGAGATAATGTACAGTGAAAGCACTTTGAAAAGTGCAATACATTATCAAAATGGAATGCAGCATTGCTACTTTTAAAACACTTAATTGAAAGATCAGGCAATACAATTATGTACAACAAAACTGCAAGAGAATTCAGCCTTAAATAGAGGCAAATTTATCCCATGTTTCCCTTCCACATAATTTAATGGGACAGCCAATTAATCACAACCCTTACTTATTCTTTAATGTTTATTATCCAAGATACATAAATTTCATGTGAAATTCACAACTTTACCACCTTTACATGGCAATTTACAATTACAGTGTTTCTTTAAAATTACTGTCTATATACATGTAACAACTGCAGTACTCCCCCTTGGTCTCGGTCTTTTCTCCTTCCTATTTCTTCTCACCAGCTGTTCCAAAACATTCCTACTCCCTTAAGGTCACCTACCTCGCCCAGTTACTCTCCATTCTCACCATGTGATCTCATCTTTTCCTTAGCAGAAATAGAGGCTGTCTAAATTTAGTAGTCACATTTTCTCCCCTCCCCTACAGAAAAAACAAATAACAACAGCAACAAAAAAAATAAGAGGCCTGATTTGATGCATTAGTGGATTTCTGTGATGTAAATACCCCTAACATGGCTGATATTAAGCAACTGCCTCACAAAATTCTTAAGTATTTATCGATCACCACTGATGCAGCTCCCTGTATATACATATATCCTGCCTGCTAGCCTATGAGGCCAACCTCAATTAAATGTGTATTCTAAGTATCTAGCACAGTGCTTGGAAAATAAGACACACTCAATAAATAGAGAAAGTGGTCTTATTTCTTGGGAGAACTTGATAAAATAATTACTATATTCAAGTTTTTAACATAGCTAAGGGTTTAATTTAATGTGCTAGGGACTTCCTGCATACTATTACCTTTAGGCTATGATCCTGGAAGAAACATGACTAAATTCAGTGTACAATGATATGCATGCTGAGGAACACATCTTGTGAAGAGACAGAGTACACCTGGCCCTTGGCTTCAGATTTGGAATGTTCAGAAAACAATGGCTGTGTGCCCATCATTAGAAAGCAGAATTTAGCTGGCCTGTATATCTCCTGCACTTAATAGTCAGCATAAAACAAGGGCATAAGTTCAAAATTAAGTAAACACATCAAGAAAATTACTTTTAAATAAGACAAATGAGCAGAGCGGCTCATGATACATAAAGAGAAAATAGAAAAGGTTGACTATTAATTTCCTTAGTATAAAGTCATACAAATTTGACAGCAGTAATAGAGTGAAAATTTTCATTTATTTTAAAGTATAACATTTGTTCCCTAAAGTGGAAAAAATACATTCTTAATATCAAGGTGTAATTAGAGGAAGCTAAAAGAGTTTAATAGTCTAATGACAGAAATAGCAAGTTCTCTTTTTTTTCTTAAACCTTTGAGGACTTAAACCACATTTAAAAAGCAAATACTAAAAATTAATGTGTTCTATTTAAGGTAATTTGAAAGGACATCCTAATGCCCTAGTCATCTGTTACAACAGGCCCTAACACAGCTAAACATTTGTAAATTGTGCACCCTTAAGCAATTATGCATGTTTGTAATTTATCAATAATGGCTTAACTCCACAGTCGGTAATTCTTACATGGCAAAATTAGTTTAGGCCATACTAAACAGTTGTAACTACCCAACAGGCATATTTTGTTTCAAGTACTGGAATATTCTTTAAATAGAAAGCACAGTGGTGGCTTGAAAGATTCAAAGTGTCCCAAAAGTTGAGTTGTGACAGCCATTTAAGTATGTTCAAAGTGTAAGAAGTGCCCTAAAAATGTGGCTGTCCCCCAAATTCAGAATTATTATTGTTGTGACTGTCAGTGCCCCAAAAGCTCTAGGACAAAGTGTCAAAGTCATGGAGAGTTAAATATATTTTGCATTTTACTAAGTTCAGGAAAAGTTCGCTGTCCACCTCTCACATAATAATGCTCATTCAAGCAATAACTACCAAATTCAAAGAGAGAACATCAAGAGATTTTTTCATCCAAATGAATCAAATCTCTGAGTTAATTACTGCCTCTTGAATTCTTTAAAAAATTAATTAGAAAGCTTGACAATTAACTTTGAAACCCTTCACCAATGCTCTTGATACTAGAGTAGAATATCTACTCTAATATGTACAGCCAACAGAGAGACCAATAAGCTGTGAAATCACCAGTCTGGGGAAAGCAGGTTAACAGAGGCTATGTTTAAGCATCTTACCCATTATTTCTATAAAATTTTTTGTTCTGAGAAAAATGATTCAACT